TTGATTGATTTGATTTTTATTGATTAGCATTCAAATATCTCAGTGAAAACAGAACAAAGATCTACCACAAAGCAAGAAAGCATGAGACAAGGCTAATCAAAAGGTATTGGCTGAAGCATTTGCTTATTACGCCAACCATAACACCACCAGTCAGTGCACCACCCTGAGGTGCGCTGACAGAGGCGAGGCTGCCGGACACTGGTGCCACCAGGCCCTCTGACCACCACCACCAGTAGGCAACGGGTGAAGTGTCTTGCCCAAGGACACAACGACCAAGACTGTCCAAGTAGGGTCAGTGCACCCCAGGGTGGCTGTGTAGCTTGCCATCACCAGTGTGTGAATGTGTGTGTGAATGGGTGGATGACTGAATGTGTAAAGCGCTTTGGGGTCCTTAGGGACTAGTAAAGCGCTATACAAATACAGACCATTTACCATTCCACTGGAGCTTTGATGTTATGACTGACAGAATATTGTGTCCAAAACACAACTCCATATACGTTATGTATGTGTTATATACATTGTAAATTATATTATAGGAGTACGATGGTGTTATTGAGCTAACTAACAGTGACACATCATGCTGTGAAGGAGTATTACAGTAACAACAATAATAACAGTAATAACAATTTTATTGATAAATGTGGCAATTCAGCAGCTTCATGCAGTTCCTGTAATGTGAGTGTTTTCCATCTGAGTGAGTCTTAATCTTTGGATTTTGCACCTTTGGTCAAACAAAGATGTTTTTGGGGAGTGTGAAGAGCAGAGCAATCGACTGAAGATAGGTTGCAGCTGTAATAGCAATGGATTTATCATAAAACTCCTGATTAGCACAATGGGAATAACTTCAGGATCTCCATTCATTTGTTTCCCACCAAGGACTTCCATTTAACTTCAAGCTTATAAACCCTGTGTTAGCCAGTGTCACTACAGGCAGATGGTCTTCTTTTGGTCAGGCCCCTCTGCCCAGGTTGCTCATCATCCACTTCACTCCCATTAGCTGAGGCAGAGAGGGGCTGGCTCATCGGTGAGAGTCATCACCACATCATGTTTTCATCCACCTACCTCTCTTTCTCACACGAGGCACTTGATTTGTTCAGCCTTTGATATGTGAAACAATACAACATTACTCTTATTCTGCAGCACTAAAATGCAGTCATGTCATGGACCCACCAGAGAACTTTTCAGGAGATTTACCTCCAAAATGTCCCACTCTGGTTGGGTGGTGTAGGTACTGAATTGCAGTGAAGAGCGGATGTCAGTTAAGGTTGTTTTAAAACGTCATATTTTCACAGTCAATACAAACACGTTCATATCTTCAGATGAGAAATTTCTAACTGGTCCAGCGTTTTAAAATAGAACCTAAAGGGGAAGGTAGCTCTGATGCTAGGTCAGATCACAGCTGAAAGTTTAAAAAGCATCTCAAGAATCAGGCTGGTGTTGCTCTTTGTGTAACAAACGTTTATTAACACGTTTCTGTCTTACATCCTTTATTATTCATGAATAAAAACAGAAATCTTATGAAATCTAATCTTATAGGTCTTACTTATAAGATGAAACTTACGTTTTAAACTTTTCTATTAAATCTATTGTTGCTTTAAAAATTGTGCTATAAATTTAAAATCGACATGGATATAAATTACAGTTTTTCCAACCAAACATATGAAAGCAAAAAGTAGAAATTAACTACAAGATAATATTATTTAAAATGATTATGTGCATTTTAATACTTTTCCAGCTGTAACAAACTGTGGAAACCGCCCCTCTAGTGGCAGTGACAGTTACTGACAGGTATTTGACTATTGGCAGCAGGACTGATCAGAATGTGCCTTATTTTAATAAATGCAAAAATGAATAAATACATTAATTAACAAAATCCTACAAGCTTTGTATTATACTGCTATAGGCTTGGTGTGCTGGGGGACTTTGCATGATGCACTGAGCGTTTCTTATAAACTCACCTGTTTTCTCTCGCCATGTTTTCAAATGTCACTACAGCGTGCCGTTGAAGTTTTTCTACTCTGTCAAGCAGTTTGTGCTTTGTTCCTGTCGAAATAGGGAGATGCTCTGTAAGTTAAAGACTCTACAATATCACAGAGAGAACCCAAACAATCAGGCGACCTCCTGTGAGCAAAATACTTGGAAACAGAGGGAAGGAGAATCTCCCTTTTAACAGGAAGAAACCTGCACCCAACTGGGGCAGGATCAGGACCAGTTGGAGGTGAGGGGAAGGCGACAGGACAAAAAATAAATAAATAAATGAACATATATATATATCT